ATTCTGCAAGTATCTGAAGATGAGGTTGATGGGCTGCACCATCACCTTCTGGACTTTCTGGCCCTGACCCCGGTACGCCATGGCGGAGCCCGACCGGCAGGTCATTTTAAGATTTTCCATTTATTAGTAAAAAGAAATAATGCATGGCTTATAGGGTTGCTATGAAGATATATGTGAATCAAATATAGTGGGTACTCAATAAATGGTAATGATTATCTTTAACCTTTTATGGATTCATTTACATTTGGACACATGAACCTCCCTACTTAAGAAAAAACCTTTTTATTCATTTATTTATTTGATACAGGGTCTCACTACACAGCTTGGATTCATAGTGATCCTCCTGTGTCAGCCTCCCCAGTCTGGGATTACAGATATATGTCATCATGCCCAGTTTCGGTGGCTTGCACAGTGTGCCCAGGACTCTGGAGCTGCCATGGCATGTGGTGCCAGGGACTGAATCTAGGTCTGTGGTACTGGGGATTGAACCTTGGTCTTTGTGCTTGCCAGGCAGGCACTTAGACTACTGAGCTATCTCTGCAGCCCTGGAAAATGGTATTTTATATTATCACCAATATGGCAGTCCATTGCCAAAGTTGCCTGAAGATATATTTCATTTAGTTCACATAAGATTGATTGATTGGTTGATTTTTGTATTTTTCAGTAAGGGTCTACCGGATCTATAGGGGATTGCTATGTAGATTGGACTCACAGTGATCCGCCTGTGTTCAGCCTTCTAAAGAGCTGGGATTACAGGCACACACCACCACGCCCAGTCTCAGCCATGCCCAGTCTCAGTCACTGTCTCAGCGCTTCCTGGGGGTGGGGCCAGCACAGCACACTGGTGATCGAATTCGGCCTGCTGCGTCTGCCTAAGCAGGCGCTGTAATACACTGAGCTATTTGGCCAGCCGGCCCACATAAGATTTAAAGAAGAAAACTGCCAGTGTTATTGGAGAATTAAGATGTTGGGCTACAGATATAACTCAGTGGTAGAGTCTTTGCCTGTACAAGGCTTTGGGTTCAATACTTAGTACTGAAAAATTAAGATGTTGAATATAGAAATCTAGTTTCCCAGTTTCTTTCGAAAATAAAAAATGTTGAGATACTGAGTCTATGCTTTGCTTGGCAACAATCCATTAGGGCCAAAAACAGGCTGCTTTTTAGCTATGGATGCGTTCTGTTTGCCAGTCTCCACCTGGCTTTCTACACTCATGGGTGTAATATAATTGGTCTTGTAGTTATTTCAATTTGCAACCCTCTGATGGGAAGAGCATCTAGAGGTAGAGGGAGGAGGGGAGGAGGGGAAAAGGGGAATAAAAAGAATTGAGATGTATTATGTACATGCACCAACGCCTCACAACAAGTAAAATCACCCAGTACTGCAAACACGTACTAATGGAGTAGCATCTCCATTCATGAATGCTTTCATTCACAAACAATTCGGTTTTCAAAAGTGTTCAGTAGGGTCTAAGTGATAGCTCAGTGGACTAAAGCTCCTGTTTAGGCAAGCCTAGGCAAGCTTAGGCAAGCGCAGGGACCGCTCTTTGATTCCTGTTCAATGCCACACCTGTAATCCCAGCCCTGGAGGGGCTGAAAGCAGGAGGATAACCACAAGTCCAAGCTGCATAGTGAGACCCTGCAACAGCCAAATACATTAGAAAAAAAGTGTTCAATAAAATTTTGCTTCAACTCATAAACTTCACATCAGAGACAAACACAACCATGGCTATCTTCCTCATACAAACACAACCATGGCCTTCGTCTCAAAAACTGTAAAACAAGTTAAGTTTGTGAGCCAAAGTACCATTGTAGGAGCCCGCCGGCCACGGTCTCCGGCGCCAGCTACGCCGTCGCCCCGTCACTATGGCCCATTACAAAGCCGCTGACTCGAAGCGCGAGCAGTTCCGGAGGTACTTGGAGAAGTCAGGGGTGCTGGACATGTTGGCCAAGGTGTTGGTAGCCTTATACGAAGAACCAGAGAAACCTACTAGTGCCTTGGATTTTTTAAAGCATCACTTAGGAGCTGCTACCCCAGAAAATCCAGAAATTGAGCAGCTTCGCCTAGAATTGGCAGAAATGAAAGAGAAATATGAAGCTACTATAGAAGAAAATAAAAAACTGAAAGCAAAGCTTGCTCAGTATGAACCACCTCAGGAGGAGAAGCGTGCTGAATAGGATTCTTCTCAGTTGAAAAGACAATGAAAAATGGTTTTGTATGACTTCACTAGTTTGTATAGTATATAATCCTTTCTGAACAGATGCTATAGAACTTTTAATATGTTAAATTCATCTCTCACATTTAAATGTTATAAACGCATATACTCAGAATCACCAATAAAAACTCAATACAACTTTCTTTGGATCTTAAAGCAGGACAAATATGGGGCCAAATTAAATTCTGAAGAAACCTAAACAGCGATCTAATTCATTACCTTAAAAGACATTCTGTTAGTCTGATTGTGAATAATCCTACTGGTTAGATGTTACCCAAAGACATTGAGTGTGGAGCTGCTCCTTGGTTTAGTTCAGGCTATGAGCAGAGGTACAATCATACTTTACAAGGAAGGTAATAGTGTTTATAGTCCCTGGACTCAACTGGAGGAATCTGTGTGACACACGATGCTTCTGCATGGCTTCCCATGAATTTTCTGCTCTTATTTATATAATGCGGAACAAGTAACTCTTCTTTGCCACCACTTTGCCTTAGATAACTATGTGTGTGCCAGTTTGAACTCTGACACCTCTGCTTTCTTCTATGCAATCACGCCCTGTTTGATAATGTTGCCTTGCTTTGCTGTGTACTTTAGTGGGGCCTAGTTGCTCATTAGCCTTTGTGTGTTGTTCATTTTGCTTAATAAAGAAGTTATCCTGAAAAAAAAAAAGTACCATTGTAATTACAAAAATTAATAAAAATCTGCAACCCTTTGGATGTCAGAAAACTATGTCTGGTACATCAAGGATAATTGCTCCTTCAGTGAATACAGCACTGTTTTCTTCTATCACTCTAATCTGACCATAAAATAATCAAGTTTGTGTTTATTTGTAGTAGTTATTGAATAGCAGATTTCATTTTGAGAAGTAAATTGAACAAGTCCTTTCTTTCAGTCAGAATAGACTAGGTTAGGTTGTGACGACATAATCCCCAACTCTCAGTGACTTAAAGCAACAAAAGTTTATTTTTTGCTTACACAAACCTAAACACAAAATGAAATACTGTTTTCATGTGCATGAAGACATGAGAGCACAGGTTAATAACACATGAACTCGTACAAAAAATGTATTCAGATCCTTGTCAGTTTAAATTGTACAACTTTCTCTTTCTTGGGGATTTAAATAGGCCCAAGGAGGGGTATTAGAATATACACTTTTGGTCAAGGAAATGCCCATACTACAAAAGGAACTGAAAGCTAATTGAAGTGCTTAAATGTTTAAAAAAATATTGAAGCTTGTATTACTTTAAATTCCGTTCAAAATCCCTAAGTAAAACACCAGGTATGTATTGCCCATAGGTTTTCACCTCCCTACCCCATTGAGGCATCCTCCACTTCTGGATTCTAGCTCAGGAGGGAGATGGACCCCAGACGCCCAATATGCAGAGAGACAGAGGGAGCTGGGCTGGATCGAAGAGAGGGTCCAACAGGCTGGAATCCTCTTCCTCCAGTGGGAGCTATAGGCAAGCAGGAAGCGGCAGGACCAGGTCACATCCATTTTCCCTCCCAGAAACTCCCTGTTTGCCCCATCTGATCCAGGCCTCATGCTTGTTCACCTGGTTTATTACAAAGCCCCCCTCCTTGCTGATTTCCTCATTTCCAGTCTTGCCCTTTCATCAAACCCACCATCCTTGCCTTCCTAAAGTTCAGGGTCTCTGAATATATTTCTGCCTATTTCAGAAACATTCCCTGGTTCCCTGTTGTACAGTTGGTGGTCTAGACTCTTAAGTCCAGTAGGCCATAGTCAGAAGCCTGTGCAGCCTCATGACTCCCTATTTCAGAAGTTCCTCTAGGCCAATCCACAATTGGACAGGAGGACTCTCAGCCTTCTTCTCTGTCCTCCTGAGTGTTTCCACTCTTCAGAATTCCTCAGGTCTTGTCATTGATACTTGTGAAGGCACCTCGGTTCCCCAACTAGAATGGAAGCTCCTGGAAGGCAGTTACCTCCTCCCAGGCCAGACCCTGGTTACTTCTTCATTCCCTCTCCAGACTTCAGCAGGTGGCTAGGGTCTGGAGAGAGAGAACTTGGGCTGGAGTCACGAGACCAGGCTCCAAATTATCTTGCTATATGCCTTTGGACAAGTCCCTACCTCTCTAAGGGCCTCATTTTTCTTGATTATCTTATTTTTTTATTTTATTTTTTTCCCCTTGATATGTTGACACTGAACATTTGCTGTTGGGCACAAAACTGGTAAAGGTGACTCACTAAACAACCCTTAGGTGAAATCCCAGAGACCAGGCTAAAGAGCCTGGGGATCTGAACTTGAGGACATTCAATTTGTTGACCTCCTATCTCCTTGGTTAGTCCCTGCTTATTCTGGTAATCATTCCCAACCACCCTTAGGGCACCCTCTCCTTTTGGGAAGCAGGTTACCTGTTGGGGCACAGGGGTGAAGTAGGGAGATCCAGGTGGGGTTGGGGGATACAGAAGGGGTCAGTCGGGGAGCCTGAGATGAGTCTTTCAGACCTACAAGAGCCTCAGCTGCCTCCTGCTGCAGCTGCCACTCTGAGGGGGGAGATGTCCAGGCCAGGCGAGAGGATCCAGGAGCCTGCAAAGGAAAGAGAAAAGCAGCCTGGGAACCACCATTTCTGCCCGCCCCTCTATGTTCCCCTCTATCTTTCAGTTCTTTCACATTCCCTTGCTTTTCCCTTCTCCAGGCTCAACCTCCTCCCTGGGTCTTGAATGCCACTTCTTTTCCAGGACCTGTGGCTGTAGCAGAAGTGAGTCTGGAGCACCACAGGACTGGAATATCACAGTTGAGCATCTAGAAGTAAGAAGAGATGCCAGGGGGATTAAACAATAAATAGACATGAGGATTAGCATTCTGAGAGCCTACTGGCCCATTGAGCTTTGTGTTGTTTTTTTTTTTTTTTCCCTTCAGTGTTGGGGATTGAACTCAGGACCCTGTGCTTGCCAGGCAAGCACTTATTCTACTGAGCTATCTACCTGGGCCTGCTTTGTGGGTTTGGGTAAGTGTTGTGCCTTGTCTTGGCTTGCTTTGTTTTCTATAGAATGAAAATGACCAACAACTTTTCTTCCCAGATTACTCTACAGACTACAGAATATCATTGGTGTGAGTGTACTTTTTATGTTTTTGATACATGGTCTTGCTTTGCAGTACAGGCTGGCCTTAAACTCACTATGTAGCCCAGGTTGGCCTCAAACTCACAGCAGTCCTCTTGCTTCAGTCTTCCAAGTACTAGGATTACAGGCATGTGCCACCAACCCCAGCTTTTAAAGTCAGTTAAAAAAAAAAAAAGGACAACATATCTAGAGGTACTGGCATTATGGACCCTTCTCTGCCAGATCTGGTTTCGCTTCCCTTCCCTAGTAGTCTATTTCCTTGGAATTTGAAGGTGAGCACAGACCACCCTCAGGATGCTTTCTCTCTTGGGCCTCTGAGGATCTTCCCATCATGAGCCTCAGTAGGCAATCTTATCTTCTGTCTGTCTCTTGGTTCAGGGAATCAAACTCAGGTCCTTGCACTTGCCAGGCAGGCCCTTAGACTGCTGAGCTATCTCCTCAACCCCACATTATTATTAAGTATTACAAAAACATTAGAGAAATAGCATCTTCTATTTACTGATAAAAAAACAGGCTCAGACATATTTAGATACTTGTCCAAAGATTCACAGCTAGGACACAGTAGATCTATGAGCACTCTGCATGGCCTATTGATAGTCTGGGAACTTTTCTTCTTTATCATCCACTGTGGTATTCATAACAAGAGTTATGTTTGGAAAAATACACATCCATCTGTCTATACTCACGTGTGTGGCAGACTAGGGGGCCCTTGGGGCTCTCCCGGAGGAGGAGCTCTCAGTACTGAGCGAGATCCTGGGAAGGCTGGGAGGGACCCATGAGTGGGCAGCCGGAGGGAGGTACCAGGGTCAAAACCTAAGGAAGACAAGAGAATGGAGAGTGTACAGGGATCAGAAGTCACAGCTCTGTATTCCCTCTCCTCACCTGTGTCCCTTTCCTTTTTCTTTTCTGATACATTGGCAAACTGACACTGAGTGAATGTTGAATTCTTTTCCTACCAGAGAAGGGATGCAGAGGGACAGCAGGTTCTTGGCAGAGGAAGCGACACACCACTGGGGGTGGCATGGAGAGGCCAGGAGGCAGCCAGTGTCCATGGCCCCAAGGGCTGGGAGGCACTGGAGTCCAAGGCAAAGGCAAGGCTTCCGGGGGACGGCTAAGCAGCAGAGGCCCACAGGAGTTCTCCTGTAAGAGTAGAGGGCATAAGTCAGTCAGGTACAAAGCTGGAGAAGGAAGAGATATGTTCTAGGATGGAACAGGACCCCAAAACCATGGGTGGGCCCTAAAATCCTACCCTTTCATTTTTCCCACAGAAGTGACTTGCCCATGATTACATAGTGAGTGGGGTATGGGACTAGAATCCAGATGTTGAGAGTACTGAGGAAGGGGTCTGGGTAGGAGATAGGGTAGAAGCCACTCCCTTCAGGGCATAGCATCTACTTACCTTCCCAGGGGGTGTAAGTGCCAGTGGGATTGCCCCAAGTAGATTCTGAGGCAAGGGTGCTAGGTTCTCCTTTCCAGCTGTGAGGAAGTAGGAAGAGAAAGCTCTAGTGAACTCTTTTTCTGGACTACTTTCCTTCTCAAATTCCATTTGAGTTTTTCTGTCTGACCATTTTCTTTTTTCTTTTATTTATTTTTATGAGACAGGGTATCACTATGCATCCCAGACTGGCCTTGAACTCATGGTGTTCCTCTTGCTTTAATCTCTGCAGTGCTGGGATTTACAAGGGTGTGCCACCATACCCATCTGTCTAACCATTTTCTACCCAAAGATTTTACTGCACTTGGTTGTATTTTATAGTTGGGAATCTGAAACCCAGAGAGTAAAAACAGCTTGTCCAAGACAACATGCCCCTTAAGTGGTGGGAACTCTTTTCCCTATTTATACTTTCTACACCCAAATCCCTGCCAAATCTGCAGCCAGAGACACTCACAGGGGACTCCTGACTGAGTAGCTTCTTTCTTAACGTGGATGGGGACTTTGAGAGGGGTTGTCCCTCTTCTCACCAGTCCCTGAGCGAGGTGTCTCTTTAGCTGGGCCTCCTGCTGCCTGCGCAAAGCCACCTGGGCAGCCATGATCCTCCGACGTTCCCTAAAAGAAGGAGTGGGCTGCAAATCAAAAGCCATCCACCCTCTAGAGGGAGCCCATCCACCTCCCCTCCTTAGACCTCATACTCACAGGATGAGGACACATTTGTGGCACTCGCAAGCCTGAAAGAGGCAGAGGCGCTTATGGCCCTTGAGATGGGCCGTGATGCCATGATTCCGGCAGCGAGCACAAGTTGGAGAGCGACTAACAGCTCTTCTGGGGATAAGCTCTGTGCCCTGGATGGCTTTGGTCTCAACTTCTGAGGCAGAGTCAGCAGTGCAGTTGTGGACAGCAGGCGCTTCACTGGGTTCCATGGATCTACGGGCAGGTGGAAGATAGGATGACTATGTAAGACTTCCTCTTAACCAACTCTACTGCTCTGGGAGGCCACATATGTGTTTTTCAATCCTATCCCTCTTCTGGACCCTGTTTTTACTCTGATTTTTCCTTTCTTCACTCCACAACCTTTCTCATTGGTTCTTTCCTAAGAAATTTTTCTCCTCTCTTTTCTCAAGTATTCTTTCAAAACAGCATCTTTCACTCACTTGAACACTTTCCCATGATGTATCCCAGCCATGGGCATAAACATCCTCCCCTCCCCCAGGCTCCTCTTGCCCACATTCCTTTCCCTCAAACACTCTGTTCCACCCAGGTTTTCCCTGGCATCCTTATCAACAACGGTCATCCTATCCTTTTGTATTTTTCCAGTCCTAGGCATATACACCTTATCTATCTATCTATCTATCTATCTATCTATCTATCTATCATCTATCTCCATTTCCACAGGCATAGTCATTGAGCTATACCCCCAGCCCCCTTTATTTTTGAAACAGTCGCACTAAATTGCCCAACTGGTACTCACACTTCACTTTCAACCTTTACAGATGTATACCACCAAGAAGCCTGGGTCCAAAAAAAAATTTTTTTTTGTGGTTTTTTCGAGACCAGGTCTCGCTACAGAGTTCATGTTGACCTTGAGCTCACTTTGTAGGCCAAGCTGGTCTCAAGCTCGCAATGATCCTCCTGCCTCACACCCACTTGCCAAAGAATACTTTTATACTCTCGTCAATTCTTAGTCCAACCTATGCCCTGCAGTTCAGTCTGCCCCTTGCTTTCCTTCAGCTTGATTCTGTTTTATTACCCTCAGTAATTACCTTATTCCCAAGGATTCCCTTCCCACTTTCAACAGTTATTTTCATTCACTACTTCATTCTACAAATGTTTACCGAATCCTGGCCACGCGCTGGGCCTCGTTCAAGGGCAAAGCGTCTCCTCAGGACGCCAAATTTCCCTCCCACTCCTCTGTACCCAGCACTTACGGCCGCCGCCCGCTTCCAACAGCGAACCCCGCCCGCGCACCTTCCCTTTCCCTTGTAACCATTACTGCCGAGCAACCCCCCCAGCAGCCGCCCCCACAAACGCCTGCCCGAGGCTCCGCCGAGCTCCAGGGTGTCAGGAAGGGGGCAGGGCACGAGGAACGCGCCGTGCCCAGGGAGGGGCGGAGGGGGAGCAAGGGGCGCGAGGCGGGAAAGAGGAGCTTGGGGGCTGGGTGGGGGTCCCGGGGCTCGGAGCGGATCCCGTGCAAGGGAGAAGCAGTAGGGAGAGGGCGGGGAGGGCTCGTGTTCATTCCGCCACCCCGTGGTTACCACAGCCTCGAGCGGAGTCACTCAGAGGAGAGGAAGCCTCTGGTAAGGGAGAGAAAATGGTGTGAGGAACGGTTACGCTCGCGCTAGTTTTCCCTCACTATCTTAGAAGGACCAATGAGCTTCGAGCACCAGCCACGTGGGCAGCCAATTCGGTTTGAGATGGTGCGCTGAAGGCCCGCCCCCTTCTCCCTTTGGCCATCTCCCGGCGGCAGAGTATCAGGCCAGCCAATAGCGCGTCGAGTTGAGTCTCGCGCCCGTTACTCTGCCCCCCACTGTGGCTGGCATTTCCAGACTATTCCTTTTAAGGGGAGGCGGCCAATGAGGCGTCGAGTACTGTCTCCAGGCCCGAGGCCGGCCCTGCCCCCCAGGAACAGTAGGTTCGGCCTCACCTGCCTCACCTCGCGAGCGTTATCCAGGCGGCCTGCGCATGCGCATGCGCATGCGCCGCCGCCACGCCCTTCTCCGGCCTGCGCTCTCCTGCAGGACGGCACCGGCTGGCTTGTTCTCGCTGCGTGGCCTCCTTGCACTTTCTCTCGCCACCTCCCGGTTCTTTAATTCCCGAGCTCCCCTTCTCATGTGCCATTCCCTTTCCTGTGTTCCCTCCCCGACCCCCGCATTTTCTCAAGTTGCACCCATTTTGTGTGTGTGTGTGTGTGTGTGTGTGTGTGTGTCCAACTGCCGCTGCCTGTCTTGTTCCTCTTTGGACCGCGTCCTCCTGCCGCTCCATTCCCTTGAAAGCCTGTTTCCTAAGTTTGTCCTTGTGGCCCTGCACACCTTCTGTGCGCTTTTCCTTCACGAATTTCGTTCTTCTCAGGTCGCCCTCTTCCTTGTAGCTCCCTAAAGCCCCCTCCTGTCTTCCCCTCCCGTCTTCCCCTCCCATCTTGCCCTGTGTCGCTTTTTCTCTGTACTTGCAGTATCTGGATGCGAAGGAGGCGCGACCTGGTTCCCCCTCTCTTGTGCACCGAGTCCCCTCCCCCAACTGTGTGCCCCACGCCTCATTTTCCTGCATCTTTGCCGTGCTGTCTCCGTGCAAAGTGCCATGACCATCCCGTCATAGTTTCTTTAGGATTTCAAATCTTTTCTGCTTGGGTCCCTGCTTGTTGAGTCCTGTCGTTTTGCACCCCAGGCTGGTGTGTGCAGCCTCCTTTGATCCCCCCAACCCCTCTGTTTTACCCGCTGTCAGCCTTAATTCCCCCTTCCCATCTCCCATCTTTTCTGTGGGCTTTGACTTCTTTGATTGCCACAGATTCTGGAGAGACCCGTGTATCTGTGCCCTCCCAGCTGAAAAAGGGGGCAGAAGTGAGCTCCAGCTGGACTGCTGTGCGGCGGAGCTGTTCTAGATAACGTTGGAAAAGTTGTTTGGAGCCGGTCTGAGGGTCTGGTGAGGTGAATGAGTGGAGGTGTAAATGCCAGTTTAAGAGACTGAATCTGATCTTTTAAATGGGTAGGGAGGAGGGGGAGATAACATTTACATAATTTAGCATTTGCCTAGCACTTCCTATTAATAATCTTATTGCTTTTTACAGTGACCCTATGAGATGTAGTAGTATATTTTTCCAGCTGAGCCAGGGTTTCTTTTATTAGCACACAGTTGCAGCATGTATTGTTTACATTCCTTCTGTGGTGTTGGTACATATACATAAATTTTTTTTTAATTCTTTCTTCACCTCTTTTCCTCTCTCTGTCTTTCTCCTTCCCTCCTTCCCTCCCTACCTCCCTCTTCATATCTGGAATTGAACTCAGGTCTTGTGCTTGCCAGGAATGTAGGTACAAATTGGGGTGAGGGTGGACAGAACCTTTTTTTTTTTTAGACGCTGATGAACAAAGAAGTTGAGAAGTCTATCTCAGGCTCAACATTATATTGTAGGAAGAAGTCTGACCATATTTAGTCAAAGTAGGTTTATAAACACCTATTTGTGATTTATCCTTGGTATACATAATGAAAATTTCCACATCAGGTATCTGAGGCTACAGTATTAACATGATGGTGAGTTGAAGCAACAAACCATTCTCTCCTGAAACCAAGTGAATGCACAATATGCAGGGGATGCCCAGAGTTCAATAAATTGCACAGGATTGCATAGCCTGTAAAAGGAGGGGTAAAGATTACAAATTTACTTTTATTTATTAGCAGAACCGGGGATTGAACTCAGTCCCTTGCTCTTGCCAGGCAAGTGCTTATACTAAGCTATCTCCCTGGCCCCACAAATTTACTCTTTGAGGGTAAGACTTCTGAATATTGTATTCCTTCCTACATTGCTTTGGTTATTTCCACTAATACTTATTCCTTGATTTCATTCCTTAACTTTTCTGCAGGAAGTCATTCTGTGGGTCTTTTGATTTGTGTGTGTTCTTCCAAGATTTAAAAAGTACTTTTATGGTACTAGGGATTGAACTCAGGGCCTCATGCATATTAGGTAAGCACTTTATCCCTGAGCTACAATCCTAACCTTTTTTAAAAATTTTAAAATTTTAATTTTTTTGTGGAACCGGGGATTGAACTCAGGCCCTTGTGCTTGCCAGGGAAGGTCTTATTCCATTGAGCCATCTCCTCGGCCCCAAACCTTTTTTTTAAAGACAGGGTCTCACTATGCAGTTCAGGCTGACCTTGAGCTCACTTTGTACCTCAGGCTGGTCTTAAACTCACAATGATCCTCCTGTCTCAGCCTCCTGAGTGCTAGGATTATAAGCATGTGTCTTCCCCCACCCATAAATTGTCCATGGTGGCATCCAACTTTCAATCTTCCTGCATCCATCGCCCTCACACCAGTGGGATTATGTGTGTGTCACCACACCTGGATATACATGAGTGACACTGTTATTTACTATTTAAAATAATCAGCATGGTACTTTTATGATCTGTCCAGGTGCATGTGTATCTCTAACTGGTTGTTTTTACTGCTGCTTTTTTGGGGGGGTGGGGGAAGAGTCTACAGGATATTCAGGGTTTTACTACTAGATCCGCCTGTTTACAACTTCCCAAGAGCTGGGATTACAGGCATGCACCACTACGCCCAGTCTCAATTGCTGTCTCAGCAGGCCCAGGGATTGAACCCTGGGCCTCTGGGCCCCTGCGCCTGCTTGCAGGCACTTTAATCTGCTGAGCTGTTTGGCTGGCCCTTTTAACTGCTGTTTTGTTTTCTGTGGTGGGCATCCCCTGCATAGTGTGCATTCAGCTGGTTTCAGGAAGGAATTTTTTTGTTTTGGCAGAACCGGGGATTGAACTCAGGCCCTTGCATTTGCCAGGCAAGTGCTTATTGTACTGAGCTATCTCCCTGGGCCCTGAAATGGTTTGTTACTTCAACTCACTATCACATTAATACTGAAGCTTCAGACACCTGATGGGGAAATTTTCATTATGTATACCTAGGTTATATCACAAATAGTTGTTTAGGAGCCAGGCATGGTGGCCCATGCCTGTAATACCAGCACTTGGGAGGCTAAGGCAGGAGGATCTTTGAGAATTCAAGACCAACCTGGGCTCAGAACAACCAAAAAAAAAAAAAAAAAAAGAAAAAAAAGCAAAAGCCCAAGCCAAAACAAAAAACAAATAGGTGCTTATAAACCTAGTTTGGTCATCAGACTTCTTCCTATAACGCAATGTTGAGCCTGACATAGACTTCACGACTTCCTTATCAGTATCTAGAAACAGGTCCTCTCCCCCATCGCCCCAATTTGTACCTACATTCCTGCCAACATTTGTCTTTTTCTGGTTTTTTTATTATTATCAGTTGCAGTCCAAGACATGTACAGCAAGGACACAGCTCAGAATTGGTGCATCTCCTTGATTATTATTGGTTTTGGGTGACTTCGTGCCTTTCTTGTCTGCTTTTCTGAGGATTATGTCTTCACATGCTTGGCCCATGTTTCTTGTGGACTTGTAAGAGATGCTTGGCAGTTGTTGGCTTACGGTGTTACATATATTCTTATACCAACTTTGGCATTTATAATGAGTTTATCCGCTTTATCTAGGTTTTCAAATTTATCAGTGTAATTGTTAGTACCACTTTTTAAATTTTTTAGTAAGGGTCTACAGGTTCTCATTACATAGATTGAACTCATAGTGATCCTCCTGTTTTCAGCCTCCCAAGCACTGGGATTACAGGTGCATGCTACCATGCCCAGTCTTAGTACCACTTTTATTACTTGTAAAACATATGCTATCTGTCACTTCCCAGGGTTGGTTTTTTTTTTTTTTTTTTGTACTGAGGATTGAACTCAGGACCTTGGGTTTGCCAGGAAAGTACCCTGGCCTGCTACAGTTTTTATTCTGTATTTTATTTGCATCTTCTTTCTTGAGCTGAATTAACAAAGAAGTATCTGATTAATCTTTTCAAAGAATGAATGTTAGATGTGTTTCAGTGCCAGGGACCAAGCCTGGAGCTCTGTGCATGCTAGGTGAACACTCCACCATTGAGCCACACCTCCAGCCCCAAGTTTTTTCTTTTTTAAGTAACGTTGTTTACTATTTTACTGCTGTTCTTTTTATTTCCATTCTTTTTTTTGAGGCTTGATTTGTTTATTATGTAACTTCTTGAGGTAATTCATAAACATACTTATTTTCAGTGCTTCTTATTTCCTGATAAATGTTTTTTAAAAAGTATACAATCATGCCAAGTGTGGTAATTCATGCCTATAACACCTGCGCCAAGAGTGATTGAGGCAGGAGGACACAAGTTCAAGTCCCACTAGGGCAGTTTAAGTACTGCTTTGTTATGTCCCACATTTTGATGTCTAGTTTAAAAAAGACTTTTGGTTTGGAAGTGATTATTGGCTCATGGAAAGTTGCAAAAGGAATGCAGAGTCCCTTGCCCCCTTCCCCATGAGAATATCTGTTATAACTGTAATATATGAGCACGACAATACTCTTAATCAGAGACTTTAGTTTTCAACAGATTGGATATGATTGTGTGTGTGTGTGTGTGTGTGTGTGTGTGTGTGTGAGAGAGAGAGAGAGAGAGAATTATTTAAATCTAAATTTTAAAATTTCTTTATTCAATCAAAGGGTACTTAGTAATATGCTAAGTAACTTTCACACAGGTATTTTAAGTATTCATGCTACTGTGATCTCATTACATCCGGCTGGAGCACAGCTGTGTAATTCTGGCCCTTTGGATCACCATCGTGGCCAGGGAGAGGACCTAGGTGGGAGAGTGGGAGCCATACTTAAAAGCTGATGTGCTTACGGGTGCAGTTTAGATTGGAGGAAGGTGAGAAATTTGTGTCCTGAAGGTCTCAAGAAAGTCTGTGTGGTGGCAAGTGACACAGTCAATTTTCTGCCTTAGAAACAGTGACCTGGAGGCAGGTGGACAGAGAACTCAGGGTCTCACAAGAACCCAGATGAGAATAGCTCCAGACTGACCTCTAGCATCCAGGACCAGACACAGAACCATGGGACCCCAGCATTTGCCAACTGTGCAGCTGCTCTGCCTCCTGTGGGCCATCACCTTTTTGCCTCGTATGTCCTGTGGGGTTGGATGCTATAAGACTCCCAAAAGTGGGAGGTCAATCTGTGCCACTGGGGGAAGGAGGACTGGGTGCCTGGGTTCTTCAGGGGGCATAGAGGCTGAGCTGGTTGGCCCTTGAGGGCTAAGAAGGTGATACATATGTGGGGGTGAGTAGAAAAATATTCTCTTTTTTTAGGGGCTGGAGCTCTTTTGTGCTATGAAGCAACAGCCTCACTCTTCAGAGGAGTTAACTTCTTTAACTGGCGCTGGCTTCTGATGAGGAGTATGGTGTGTAAGCTGGTAGAGGGCTGTGAGGAGACGCTAGTATTCATTGAGACAGGTAAAGTGGGGATAGTTTGATAAACTCTCTTTTGCTCACTCGTTTGACCCTAGCTCCATTTTTAGTACCTAGAACTAGGGTTCCATATATTTACCTTACTCTGTGTTTGGAAACATATTAAGGCTCTTGCAAAGCTGGGTGGGTTCCACTTTATTCTGTGGGCTGGGTAAGGGGGAAGAATGGGAGTGGGCAGATCACTGGAGGAAGAGAAAAAGGATGGGGCCCAAGGGGGGGAGGAATGTAGGGGCTCCTGCAGAGCAGAGGATGAGGTGACACAGAGGAGAGCCCAGCAGCTGCGGTGAGTAGACATGAAGGATGAGCAAAGCTGGCCAGAGTGGGGGGTGTAGGAGGCACAGGGTGGAAGGGATGGAGTCTGCGTGAGGCAAATGACACTGATCGCAAATCCTCTGTTCCTCAGGGACCAGTAAGGCAGTTGTGGGTTTTAAAGGCTGCACCTCGGCCTTATCTTATCATCCACAAACATCCTACCTTGTCTCTCCACCCGGAGTGTCCATTGCTTCCTATAGCCGCGTCTGTCGGACCTATCTCTGCAACAACCTCACCACCCTGCAGCCCTTTGTGAAGCTCAAGGCCAAGGCTCCTAAGTCGGTAGCATTTTCTTCCCATATCTGCCCATCCTGTGTGGGTGAGCACAGCAAGGAATGTCTTCCACCCTTTGTCATGACCGAGGCTTGCCCTAACGATGCCCTTGAATGTTACAGTTCCACCTTAAAGTTTCAGGCAGGTGAGAGGAGAAGTTCATCTGATACCTTGTCTATGCTAGGTGCTACCTAGTTCCTTCCTATATCTGAGAGATGCTGGTAGGATTTGGAGATGGGAACAGGGGTGCAAGGGACCAGCCACAGGAATGCCAGGGAAGAAGGGCTAAGGCTGCTGTGCCCGAGGGCAGGTGTTCTGGTTCATGAGGTCTCTGGGAAAAGAAGTTCTCTTGAGCCTTGAAAGTGTTTCTGATTCTTCTCTTTATTCCTTATAGGGTCTCTCAATACCACTTTCCTGCTCATGGGCTGTGCTCGTGAATATGAAAGGCTTTTAGCCAAATTTCATTATATTGGAAGCATCCAAGTGACTGAGGCCCTAAACATCCTAGAGAAGTCCCAGGTTTTTGGTGCAGGGCCCTCCAGTCAAGGTTCTTCTGGGGGCATCCTCTTAGGCCTCCTGCTTGTGTTCAGGCACTGATACCCGGCTGGACTAGACAAACACCCAGATCCCTTCATTTAACTAAATAAAGTTGTAGAGTTACATTTATGTTTTGTCCTGTGTTCTTTGAGAGTGTGAGGGTGTGGAATGTAGGAGGAAGGCAAGTGGGACAGAGGCCTGACAAATGATGGCTTCATGTCCAGCAGCCAAGAACTGTCTTTCAGGAATGAAGAAACATGAGAGTATTCTCTGATGAAGGAAGATCAAGACAGTCTGTTGCTGTCCTTAAGGAATGGCTAAATGTTCAGTTTGAGGATAGCCTGTGCTCCATAGTGAGTTCAAAGC